TATTTTTAGTAGAGACGGGGTCTCGCTCTTGCTCAGGCTGGTCTCGAACTCCTGAACTCAAACAATCTGCCCGCCTCGGCCTCCCAGAGTGCTAGGATTACAGGCGTGAGCCACTACGCCTGGCCCGATAGGTGCTCTTTTTTGACTGGTTTCTTTCTCTTGACATATTTTCAGGGTTCATGTATGTTGTAGCATGTTATCAGAATTTCATTCCTTTCAATTGCCAAAAAAAAAATGCCACTTTTTTTGGAATGGAATATAACCATGTTTTATTTATCCACCCGTCAATTGATGGGCATTTGCGGTTGTTTCCCAAATGTTTTTGACTGTTATAACTACTGCTGCTACGAACATTCGTGCAGAAGTTTTTGTGTGGACATATGTTTATATTTCTCTTGGGTCTATACTTAGGAGCTGCATGGCTGGGACATATGGTAGCTATGTTTAACGTTTTGAGGAAGTGCCAGACTATTTCCACAGTGGCTGCACCATTTTACATTCCCGCCAGCAATGTACAGTTGGCCCTTGAACAACACGGGTTTTAATGGCACAGATACACTTCTAGGTGGATTTTTTTCAATAAATGTTAAACACTGACTGTGCCCGCGTCCCCTTCCACTTCCTCCGCTTCTTCTGCCTCTGCCACCCGAAACAGCAAGACCAACCCCTCCTCTTCCTCCTCAGCCTACTTGATGTGAAGATGAGGATGATGACCTTTATGATGATCCACTTCCACTTAACAAATAGTAAATGTAGGCCGGGCACGGTGGCTCACACCTGTGATCCTAGCACTTTGGGAGGCTGAGGTGGGAAGATTGCTTGAGCTCAGAAGTTCGAGACCAGCCTGAGCAAGAGCAACACCCCATCTCTATTATAAATAGAAAAAATTAGCCGGGCATGGTGGTGCGTGCCTGTAGTTCCAGCTACTCAGGAGGCTGAGGCAGGAGGATCGCTTGAGCCTGGGAGTTGGAGGCTGCAGTGAGCTACGGTGACAGCACTGCATTCTACCCAGGGTGACAGAGTAAGATTCTGTCTCAAACAAAAACAGATAGTATGTGTATTTTCTCATCCTTATCATTTTCTTAATAAACATTTTCTTTTCATTAGCATACTTTGTTATAAGAATATAGTGTATAATAGACTATAATACACATATATATACTGTATACACATATATATAATATACATAATATACAAAATATGTGCTAATCAACTGTTTGTGTTAT